TACACTCATTGAAAAAGTTTTTTGTCACTAGAATGAAAAAGTAACTGATTTAAATTCCCTGTCGTCTACCAGCTTAAGACCTTCCATGTTTGTGCCATCAAATCAGGTTGTTAGAGTTCACTAGAGTTGCAGGTATGATGGAAACGTCTTTCATGGAGTCACTTATCTTGAAGTATTTTGTTGAGACATTTCTGGGTCTTCCATTTAGTCACCTTGCTTACAACAGGGTCTGAATTAGTATTATTATCATCATCATCATTATCATCATTCAGTGCCTTGTTTCTCATTGCAAAGGGAATTCTAGTAGCAATTCTCTTAACAGGAATGGAATAACAATTAGTTTTCCGGTAGCCTTGGAAATTGCTATGCACAGCACTGTGTGACAGTTTGGGATTTTTCCTTCAAAGTATTAATTGAAGCGGGACTCTCATGCTCTGAGTGCCCATCACATTTAAAACATATATACCAAAATAGGTATGCTAAGACTTCATAAAAAAATGCAAACTTTCTCAGACAAAGTATTTCTCCCGAGTCTCTGTTATACAGCCTTACCCTCCAAATTCTTGCCAGTTCTGAGCTGGGGGTGGTGGATGCGATACTCAGAACGTGTTTAGGAAATTTCTGAATTAACTCCAGGACAGGAATGGTTGCATTCCTGTTTTCTGCATCCTGATGAGCCCTTGTGTGTAGAGAAGCGTTGCTCTGAGTCTGCCCCTTACCTTGCTGTTTTCCTTGAGGCGTGTTGTAACATGATGTGGCATAAAGTTCGACTTCCTCTCCCTCCTCGTGGCTTTGTTTATAGTTTTGTATGATTTATAAGGTTTTTTTTGTCCTTACAGGTGGCTATGAGAGCACTAGGGTTTGAACCTAAAAAAGAAGAGATCAAGAAAATGATATCAGATATTGATAAGGAAGGAACAGGAAAAATCAGCTTCGATGACTTCTTGGTAGTGATGACACAGAAAATGGTAGGTACGTTTTAAAAGTCAAAGTGAAAACAATTTTGAAAATGGCTGAGTACCTTTCATCTCCCTTTCCACTTAGGGGAAGATGAAAGCACTCTTTTAATCTTAACAACAAAATATATAAAAGTTAGAACTGCAGGACAGGGACTAACCCTATCTCATTTTTAAAGGTAAAATTGAAATAATTCTGTCATTAACAAGTTTTTTTAAGGAAGTGTTACCTACAACATAACCGCTACTTTTTTTCCTTAAACTTATGCTTACTTCTTTAAGGCTGAAAAAGATTCCAAAGAGGAGATTCTCAAAGCTTTCAAACTCTTTGATGACGATGAAACCGGCAAAATCTCCTTCAAAAACCTCAAACGTGTCGCCAAAGAACTGGGGGAAAATCTCACAGATGAAGAGCTGCAGGTTTGTACCTGGGATATGAAACCGTATCATACAGAAACACTCGCTGTCTGCCTTTGTGTGTAGTGAACGTAGAAAGGTCCAGATGAGGAAGGCAGTCGCAGCATGATCGTGTATTGCTTGCTTGCATGTTTACATTTCTTTAAAACCTATGTAAATAGTCACAATCCAATTCTCCTTCTGTCTGGAGAGCTGAGCCAACTCACTGACTGGTCCGCTGAGCACTAGAGCCCCAAGTACTTTGTTTTTTCCAGAACAGTTCTTCTTATTAAACAACATTTTCTGTTCAGAAACCATTGATGAAACCATTCCAGAAACAGAATGATATTAGTGTCTAGTTTAGTAAATATTTTATAGCGTAGCAGGTGTGACATTGAGCTAACGCTGTCCCCTCCAATACAATTTATTAAAAAAGTGGTTCTAATTTTGAATTAATCTAATAATTCTAATCCTAGTCTCATCTGCATCTAATTTCTGAATACACATATCTTCCAGGAAATGATCGATGAAGCAGATAGAGATGGGGATGGGGAAGTGAACGAGCAAGAATTTTTGAGGATCATGAAGAAGACCAGCCTTTATTGAAACAGAATTTTATTTATTTTTGCACGTGTATATACGTTTGGTAGGTGCCTCACTTTTTTACAGTCTTTTGAGACAGCAGAAAATATAGGTCAATATTATTTTTAGGCAAATGGTCTTAAACTTGTGTTTGTGAACAGTTACCAACCGCTGACCTGTTTACATCTACCAATGTGGTTGCTTGTGCTTGCACGTTTTACGCTCTTTGTTTTCCATACACACATCACGTTGTTCAGTGACAGTAGTCAGATCCTTCTGTGACTAAAAAAACATGTCAAATGATGATGGTTTGGTAAAGAGAGTACTCAAAACCAGACAGTGGAAATCTCTGTTTCCCAGCAGCTGAAGTTTTTGGTTTAATGTCTTGGTTTGGGCCCTCTAAGTCCTATTTGCAGGGATCAGCTTTTTATACTCTGTCTCATGGCGACTATCCCCTCCCCCTTTTTTAGTGTGTTCTTTAAACTGAAAAAAAAGTAAGTAGACTGCTGCAACTTAACTTACTGCTATTCAGTTCACATGTTTAAAGAATTCTCTTTGCAAAAGAAGAGGAAGGTTACCGGTGCTGCTGCTGAAAGCTCTGTATGTTGGCAGGGATATTCAGTGGCTGCAAGTACAAGATTGTATTAAAAATAAAGCATCTTATTTTTAAGCCATGAGACTTGTGGAAAGAAATATACAAAAATGCAACCAAATCTTCTGGTCCGGCATGCGCTCTGATCTGCTGACAAGTAATAGAAGAATTCTTCCAGGAACTCAAAGAGTTTCAACCGTTCAGTCCTCAAACGGTTCCCGGTCACCAACTGCTTTGCTCCAGAGGCAGCAGCTACAGCAGAGTCTGTCTGCGACGCGGCGTCCGTCCGAGGTAGGAGCGTAACTGAAGGATGGCTGTCGCCTCGTTGGAGGGAAACGAGCTCCCGGCCCTTCTGCTGCTTCTCTTTGTTCCTGAATCGAATTTATTCCTCTGCTTTTCACAGGCTGGGTATCAGCCTTTTCATTTAACTGACCTCCACAACCCATAAGCATGGGGGAAAAAAAATTGAAGCCTGAGCTAAACATGAAAGAAATAATGATAGCGTTAGGCCTTACCCCCGCAGAACTCCTGTAAGACCCTTTTTCTGCCCGAAAACGTGGTTTATGCCAGCGCAGCGCGTCAACGGAAAGGGGAGGGAGGCAATTCCTGCGCTATGGTGAAGTACCCCGTTACAGCAAACCGTGAAATCCGGTTTCTGACTTTAAGAGGAGGCAGAGGGGTCTGTGAGGGACGCGGGCTCCCTCAGAACCTCCCAGCGCTAACGCGGCCCGCAGCGCGCGCCGAGACCCGCCCCCTCGCGCAGGGCAGTTGACATTTCAGACGGGACGGCCTTGTCCCGCCCCAGATCTGCTGTCTCGGCC